CACTAAATCACTCCGAATTTGTTCTTTACCTTTTAGCAGCAGTAGAATTCCCTTACCATACCCTTTTCTGTACCTTTGAAGGGTAATGGTGCTGGTAAAATTAAAAAAAACAGGCACATGGGACTTGACAACTGTATGCCTCAGAGTGACGGGCACAGTGGCAGGGCCTCTCATAGCCTTTGCACACGGCGTATTTTACACGTGCCGTAAACGCGCGAAACTATCTAAGCGCGTAAAACTATCTCTTATCAAAATGCGCGATCATACGTGCGTTTACGGCGCGTTTACGCACGTCGTCGGCGTATAAAATACGCCGTGTGCAGAGGTTTTCAGATGTATGCATTCAAAGCTCTGAGCGGCTCTGTAACTGTTATACATAGATGTGTGTGTATGTAGGTGTATCACCAGGTTCATGATCAGTCGTACCGTCAGTTTATATCATAAAAAAATATAGTGATGCGACGTAACACCTATGACGCTCATGATTGCCAAAGAACGCTAATCGCGTCGTTTTGTTGCGTTTCCTCCTCTTCTTCTTCTTCAGAATTTTGGTTGGTGATTTTGTTGTAGAGCGTAAACGATTGAATTAAACAAATTTAATTTTTCCCGCAATCGAATTGATAAGTAAATCTTTCGCTTCAAGACTAAAAGCGAATATAAACTCTCGGAGTAATAGACACCCTCCGTGAAGCTCGGGTGGCTAACCGCCTCTTATATATATTGGCTCGTTTTAGTCCGTCGATAAAAATATACTATTAATGAGTCATGGCGGTAATTCCGAAGAGCCAGTTCCAACAGAAAGTTGTTTACTTGCCCTGTAAACTCACATGTTTACTCGCGGGGCATACCAATATAATTTAGTCATTTTTTGCGATTGTGTGTAAACAACAGTAGCTGAATAAAACTGTCGTACATACGTATACCAGCAAATTTACGTGAATGTAATTTTTTTATATTTTGCGGTACACTAGGAAAAATCCCAAAATATTTTTCGAAAGACTGACCAATTGCATTTCTTTTCTTATTTTAGGTTTAATTTGAAAATGAAAAATAGTCGATTATCATTGTTTGTCATTAGTGAAAAACTTAGTCTATTACAAAAACTTGCACCATAAAAAACTTAAAGAAAAAGACGTAACAAAAATTAAACGGAAACTTTTTATAAAATAATTACATAATATCGTATGAATTATAAATGCAATTTGTCATCAATTCTCATGATTTGATAATTAGATATTACATGTATAGATAAATTTGATATTATAATTATTGAAAAGTTTACGATCACTACCTTTTCTAACTGTAGAAAAAAAAACGTAGTATAGTTAGATTTGGTAGCACAGAGCTCTTTTTTATACAGGATTATCAGTTAATTTCAGTAATTGTACTAAAGTGATAACGCTTGTATTATAAAATGATTAGCTCTGTCGGTTCAGAAGTCATTTAAGCATAATTTTGATAAAGAGACCAGTGTGCCACTAGAAGCAAAACGAAGCGGTGTTTGTGACACTACATAAATAGCATAGCTAAAGAAGAGCAATGAGTATGTATAATACGTTATTCGTTTTTATTTAAATGCTAGGCTTATTATCTATCAAAGAAAAGTACCGCCCCGAGAGATAAAGAGTTCCGGGGAGACTACGGGCTCCCCGGTAACACTAGGCTACCACAGGGTAGCGGAGGGCCAAGCTTTCCATCAGTGATACCTCTTGGCGGGCTTCTTTAGCGGACCCTTGGGTATGGACTCGACGAGGCTTGTGGTTAGGCGTGGAGATGAACACGTTCACGGTTTTAAGCCTAAATTGCCACCGGGCACTGCGACCGGCATCTCCGGCACTAGCTCTGAGAGTTAGTAAAAGATGAGCTAGACATCCTCCGGTCCCTCCAATCGCGTAGGTATTTGGGAAGTGGAGTGACGCTACGGCCTCGTGAGGTGAGCGTGCCGACAGCTCCGCCACCAAAGTGGAGATTTAGTAGTGGACTTTAGAGTCAACGACTTAGCGGTAGCAACCATTAGTTGTGCAATGCACAACCGGAAGAGAACGTGCCAACAGCTCCGGTACCTATCTGGACAATAGAAAGGGCACTGTACGTGCACCCGAGGCAGCTCACCCAAGGCACCAGTCTTTTGAGAATTGAATGAATTCTATGCAAACGAGCTGATCTGGGGTCAGGACCGGACTAAGAAAGTCCCTGTGCGGGCTTGCAGGACTTAAAGTGCGGGCTTGATTGCACAATTTAGCGGTGACAACAGTTAGTTGTGCAATGCACAACGAGAAGTTGACGTGTCAACAGCTCCAGTACCTATCTGGACACGCCATATGAACTGCAAGCATAAACTGATAACAAATGAGAATCACAGAACTAAATTAAAGTTTTATGTTTTGTAAATTTAGTTCAAAAAATTCGTAAATCTCTTCAAAAACTTTTGAGCGCCATAAACGCGTTTCATGTTTCAGTTTCGTGTAGTACTTATCAACATGAAATTCAAATATGGAACACTTTTTGAATTATGTGTAGGAGTCATTTCTATGACTTTGTATGTCGAATGCTCTAAGATACCTAATACCCTAGCATAGGTCAATGACCCTAGCCGTCATTTTGATTCTAGGAGACTTCTTACACATTTAACAGAAAAGTGTAAAAGAAATCCAGCTTTTTTGTTGAAATTTGTATTCATGTAATAACGTAATTACAAATCAAATCGGCTTAAAAGTTTCCTAAAACGTCATTCACAAATGAAGCAATAAGGAAATTTAACGCATGAAATTTTACGGCTCACAGGTAAAGTTAAGTTACTTAAACAACTTTAAAAAAAATGAAATGGACTTGCTCTTGACCACTACCTAGCCCTGGAGCAAAGATAGGATCTACGATGGAACGAGCTCGCCTAAAAGATGCCTATTCAGTCGCACCTTAACTCGAGTTGGCTATGTGCTCGGAAACACAGTCGCAGGCAGGGAATTCCATTCCTGGCCCGTGACAATAATAAAAGATCATGAAAAGCGCTTGGTACGCCTGAAGGGAATATTGTGTTAGAGTTTGAGCATGATGTTCAATGAAACTCAATGGTCAAAAAGAAGAAATATATTTAAATATCATGTTTAAGCTTGTCAAAAAAATGTCGGAAAAATATAAAGAGTGATACATTGACTTACAAATAAATGGACGACGGGTCTAATACAAAAACCACGAAAAAAATGTCCCAAGTCAACCTATTCGAAATTTAAATTGTAATGTCATCGCAGTATCGCGCTGTCGGTAGAACAAATGAAGACTAAAGCGGAGTGTCGCGCTCTGTATACGATTTTAGCGCCTTACAAGTGCGGACACTTTTTAGCGCGGACCCGACGTCCATATAATTGTAAGTCAATGGAGTGATAGCAAAATGTATTTACAATTTTATTTATAAATAGTATTAGCAAAGTGTAGTAAATTCTACAACTATAAGTCCTAAGTATATGGACTAAGTAAGAATGATATCCCACCGTAAGTCTGGATGGTAAAAAAAGGGCGGGCGGAATGGGCTAATAGAGGTCATGGGCACACTCACCGAAATATATTCTGTAGAAAACCGACAGTCAGGCAACTTTGCGCCGGGGGGCTAAATTTATGAAGTTTAGATTCGAGTTTATCGTCGCCAATAAGTCTCCTGGCTCTGCGTTTAATCGAATCAAGAGCCTCAAGTTGGTTTGTCGCTGGGCCATCCCACAGGTGATTGGAATACTCCATGCAAGATCGGACTAGGGCTTTGTACATAGTTAAAAGATGTCCAGGCGTGAAATATCGCTTAACCTTATTAAGGATACCCAGTTTTTAGGCTGCAATTTGTGCCTTACATTCAATATAAACGTCAAAGTTAAGATCTGCGCTCAATGTTATGCCAAGGAGCTCCAGGGTGTCGGTAAAGTGGGAGTCGGATCAAATTGACTCCTTTTAGCAGAAAACTGACAGGCCTGCGTTTTGGTGGCTTAACGGATAACTACCCTGCTGTCTTTCTTCACACTAATCCACTCAAAACCAAATAGGGCGAAGATTTAGAGCAAGAACTTACGAAGTAAACTCAACATTTAATTTAATTTCTTGCTCAAACTTAGGGAAAGGTTGTTTTGTAAATACGAAAAACTTGCTTAGATGATTGCAATCTTTGCTTAGTCTAAATCTAAGTTCATTTATAAATCTCAGCTTAGGAATTAATAACAATTTATCATGAATTAATGAACAGTTTACGACAAAAAACAATTCCAAATTATTTTTTTTTGTAAACAAAGCAGTAATATTAATATTTCTTTTTCAGATACAATAAAACTTATACTACTTGTAGTTGCTGCTTACCTACACCAACATACATGGGCAAAATGTACTTCTGAAGATACAGATGATACCGTGGCAGACATATCGTGTTCAGGTGATGACGTAGAGCTATCAGAAGAAATTTCGTATCTGAAATATCGTACTTTTTCCCTAAACAGAGTAAATATTTTGTTAGATAATGTCTATAGCAAACCTTTAATTGCTAAAAGCGTCTTAGAACAATTGAGTACACCTGTAACACTCACTGTAACCAACACCAGAATGTCAGACTTCGATGAAATTCTCATATTAGCGAATGTTACTTCTGAATTAAGTATTCATGATAGTTTTTTAACAAAACTTAAATTTGATGATGTACTAATTTTGAAAGAGGCAAGAAAATTGAATGTCTCTCATAATTTGATATCAGTTTTGAAAAGTCCCAGATTAGGCAAACAACAGCAACTAATAGATACTGTTGATTTGAGCCATAACTTTATAAGCAGCGTACCTGAAAATTGCTTTGCTGGTTTTAGTCATCTGAAATATTTGAATTTGTCACACAATTCCATATCTTATCTTTCTGTAGCTGCCTTTGAAGGCATATCACAACTCGAGTCACTTTATTTATCATACAACAAACTATCAAGCATTGCAAATATTGCAATCAAACTCAGGAATCTGAAAAGTTTACATTTGGATTATAATTACATTACAAAAATAGAAGATTTTAATTCAATGATCGGTTTAGAAGAATTAAAGCTCAGATACAATCAAATAAAAGAAGTCAAAGAAAATTCTTTACTGGCACTATCTAATTTGACAATATTGGACTTAAGTGGCAATAAGATTCCTTCGATGGACTCACAATTTGTAAATAGCAGTTTACGAGAACTTCATTTGACGGATATCGGTTTGAAATTTATATATCCAGGAGCTTTTAAAGGTATGAATATTACTAGATTATTTATTACCGGTAACAAAATTCTGTTATTAATTCTACCATTTTTTCATTTAAAATGTGACTATTTAGATTTGAGTAACAATAACCTAAAATACGTCGGGAATTATACTTTCAGTAACAGCACGGTGAGATCCATTAATTTAAGTACAAATGCAATATCCGAAATAAAGACATTAACATTCTCCTCTGTAAGCGATCTTCAAGAACTAGATTTGTCAAATAACGCACTAACTACATTGGCCTTTTTAAATCTAGGCTGCGGAAGTGATCTAAAGAAATTATATTTTCATAAAAATATGGTTGACAAAGTATCGAATAATACGTTTGCGAAAGTGCCTTCTTTAGAACATTTAGACTTATCGTACAATGTGATTCAATCTATCGAATCTGGTGCTTTTATTCATCTAAAAAAACTGGAAAATCTATTATTACACAACAATCGTTTGTTTTCTATACAAATAATAAATTTGGAAGGCTTGTCTGCATTACTAAAATTTGACCTATCTTATACTGAAATTGGTAATTTTACGAAAGCAGCCGTTTCTGGCTTAAAAACAACAATTTTCAATTGTTCCCATGCTGAATTAAGCTATATACATTTTGATACATTTGCTGAAGTCGAACATATTGACATTTTGGACTTGTCGTATAATTCTCTCGTTACCTTTGAAATCAATCCAAAAGGCATATCATCAGTGGAATCACTGTATCTTAATAATAATCAAATTACATCAATTTCAAACGTATCGTTCGCTGGATTCATTGAGCTTCAAACGCTGCACTTGGAGTTCAATAATATAGTAAACATACACCCAAAAGCATTTTCTACATTGAAATCTTTGAAGATTTTGAATTTGTCTGATAACAAAGACTTGCAAGTCACTGGCGATGTATTTTCCAATCTGAGAGGTTTAGCATCGTTAACTATGATGAATAACAAGAAAAGTTTTGATTTCCAACACACAGAGAACGCAAGTTTTGAACAGGTCGACCTATCCTTATGCGACATTGCAGACCTTAGGTCGTTGTATATATTTAATGTTAATGGAGTGGTTTCTTTGAATTTATCTAAGAACTTGATTAGTTTTATTGACAAGAACTCCTTTAAAACGATGCCTAAGCTAGCAATGCTTGATATTAGCTTCAATTTGATTAAGACAATTGAACCCGGTTCATTCATCAATACTAAAAATATTGTAGTTTTAAATCTACATGGAAATGAATTGTCAGATTTTCAACATGGCGTATTTCAAGGGCTAACATTTCTGCAGACATTAAATATTTCTAACAACTTGATACATGACGTCAACGTTAATCTCCTACACAGTTGTACTGCATTGAAAGAAATAAGTTTTGAAAATAATTTAATAAGTAATTTACAATTTAAATATTTTTTACATTTTTCGAGTTTGAAGAAATTGTATTTTGGTGGTAATAATATTTCTTGCCACGACCTAGGAAGTTTTAAGATCTATTTGCAAGATAGATATTATAATAACATTATTATGAGTGAAGCTCCAAATTACCATATCGCCAATGTAGACGGAGTTACTTGTAGACCAAATAACTACACCAGTGATAATGACGGAAATTGTACTTTGAATCCTACAGGCATGTCTACGTTTACTGATGCTTTAGAAAAAATAAGTAAATCAATTGATAATTTTAATCAAGATTATTATGTCAAGGGTATATTCAATATTTTAATTTTTAGTATAGTTGCTTTCATAATTTTCTTAATTGTGAAGTATTTTCCAATAAAACGATATTTTTATAGGAACATACTTCCCAAAAATATAATAAATACTAGACGGCCATTAAATGATAATTTAGATAATACTTTTAGATACAGTAATGTGACGCAAAGATCATCGAATGACTACGAAGAATTCCCCATTCCATAAATATCGATGTTAACCATAAATAATAAAAAGTTATAACAACGTCTTATTTTAACGGAATAGAAAAAATACCAAAGCGTGCAAATTTTACATACAATATAGGAAATGTAACTATTTTTCGGATTTAAATCGCGTATATTTGTTTTTTCAAACAAACCGACGTTTCGGGTCCTTTACAGGTCCCATGGTCACGGTTGACTGAGGTGGTACAGTCTTCAACCAATTATGTCTAATATTAATGCAAACCAAACTATTTTTTTCACTATAGTTACAATAGTTCTTAATTATATTAATTAAATATTAGTATTTAATTAATAACTGTATAAATATTAGTATTTAATTAATGACTATTGTAACTATAGTCATTTCCTATTTGTAACAATCGCGAAAACCTAAGAACTCGATATTTACATACAATTCCAAACGCATATTGTCAGAAATTGGTAATTTTCGAGATGGCAATTTTTATTAAATGTTCGAGTATATTATCGTGAAATATTGAATCCTATTTCAGAATACTACTCTAAAACTTCTTAATAATATTCCAGGATACGTAAAAATTACCACCCAAATAAGGTAGAGAAAAGTAACCTGAAAATAACCCAAATTTAATTTGTTTTTGTACCTTATTTTAGAATAATTTTTTTTAGTACATAGAATAATATAATAGTTAAGGCAGTATTTCTGTTCCATAAACTTACTTGTAAAGTAATAAAATTAAATTAATTTTACTCTTAAATTTGTTTTATTTGTTTTTTCTTCATGATATTATGAGACGGGACAAACAAGTCATGCGCCTCGCAGTAAGCGTTACACCTCACAATTATATCAGAATAGACACCGCAAGTGTCGCGATCTGTATGAAAATCAAGCGTGCCACATTTTGTACCTGCGATGACGTCACCACCGCTATTTATTGATGGGAAACCTCTTTCGGCACTAAAGCGAATGATTCGATCGGAAACGCGGACACACCACGTATTTAGAATAATGTTTTTTCAAGTATTTATCGATTATAAGAAGCTGTAAGACATTAATATAGTAAATTAACACCAGAATAAGAAAATTAAGTCCTTTATTAACACATGTTTTAAAAAAAAGATACTCCGGAAAACTAAAAAAACGACAACAAATTTTATAGAATATTTTTATAACATTTTTTTTTTATAATATCAATTGTCAGTGATGTTATGCTACACGCCTGTTCATAAAAATTGCAGTACAATGGTACTGCTCATGGCAGTGCTTTAAATCACAGAGATCTGACCCTGTCACTGCGCCCGTCACCCTCAGACATAAGTTGACAAGTCCCATGTGCCTGTAATTTCACCAGCACCCTTACCTTTTATAACCTTGGCGTCAGAAATAGGTAAGGTGGCAGTACTTCCCTGGACGAACTCTTTCACAAGGAGCTCTACTGCTACTAAAACTCGTGAACTCTATCAGCCATCCGTACTGAGAACATTGTGAGTCGCTCACTGACACTTAAGTTTTGCAGTTGTTTGGGCTATGTCGGTTACTCTGTTTTCCCTGCGAATATCCTTGTTACTGGATTTTCGATCTTGCAGTGAAATTCCGAGCACAGCCTTTTCATTGCCCTTTGGGTGACCTTGAGCCTTCTTGTGAAGGGTATAGTGGGCGACCACGTCTTTATTCTTCATATTCAAAAGTTTAATTTCCCAAGTTCCAGAAATCACATAGGCATCCTATTGAAAATGATGGACACTCATTATGAATGAGTACAAGAGATTCAATGGCTCCCTCTTGACTTTAAAAGGTCATCGATCGGTAGATCGCCTAGTAATGAACATTACATTATCCACATCACATTTTCCAGCTCGTTTCATCTCCAGAACCTTCCTCCCCATTAGTGGTCATTGTTATTAACCCTCCAAAGGCGATTCGAATGTAATGAAACGGTAACTGTGTTTTTTTAGCCGAATCAAACCTAAAGCTAAATACATAGTTCTTTTAAACTGAGACAGTTTTAAATTGCAGCTATTGGAAGTTTTATGTGCAGTAAAATAAATCGCGAATGGCAAAACGTATAACTTACACGTTTATGTATTTTGTAACAGCTTTGAATTGTATCGATATAACGCGCAATACTTTTCTTTTTATCATCGTATCGATGGCATATGCTAGGTTTTATTGCGGCACAGAATTTAACCACAGTGATCACGCCACAAGTAGCCGCCACACTGTACTGTGCATGGAATATGTGTTTGCCATTGAAAGAATTTGCCAATCGGAGTATCGTACTTGCTGATTGTTGCGCAGGGTGCTCCTTTCTTGCACTCCACTGCAATACTTTGATAATTTATGATATTGTTAATCGCAAAACGAAAAAAAACTATAATAATGTAGGCATTTCTGCGATTTTCGAAATATTACTATTCTAATAAAGTGCCAGACAGGCAACCACAGTAATTACCCTCTTAAACTACAGAATTCCCTGTATATTTTCGCGCTTCTATATTTTTTTATGATATTATGATAATTTGTGCAACTATGAAACGCAAAACGAAAAAAAATATATTTTAAGTATTTCTACAGGGCTAGCACAACAAGGTGCGACTTGCGAGATATTACTATTCTAATAATGTGCCAGACAGGTAACCACACTAATTACTCTCTTAAACTCTCGCGCTTCTATATTTATTTATGAAAATGATGAAAATTTGTGAAATGGTTGTTTAATAAAAATGAAAAAAATAACTAATAATGTAAGCATTTCATTTAAATTTGTACAGTCTCGGATTCGGAACTAATACAAGTTGGATGCAATGTGCAACCGCGCTTAGTGGTCAATTCTCAGGTACCTGTAATTTCACTGCAACCTTATCCTTCAAAACCGGAATGCAATGATCACGTTACTGTTTAATGGCAGAAATATGTAGGTGGCAGCCATCGAGTATATTACTAGAAATAGAGACGAAATAAGGACCATATATCCCTGGTAACTCATCTGTGATACATCACTTATACAATATCAACTCTCGTTTGCACTGAAATATAGACAGCGCCAACAACTGACCTGTGTACGTCTCCGTATATTCCAAAAATATTCTGTACTTATTGTAATAAAGATAATATCTCTAACAATGGCGTGCTGTTTCATTCGGTGGTGAGGGAGAAAACAGCAAAACATGTAATTACAAAACAATCGGAACCAAATTTCGTCGGTAATTAAATATTAAATATGTCATTTTGCAATTTTCATACATTATAGCAAAGCTCAAGTTAACTGGTCGATTTGAAGTGAAACAATTGACGACACCCGTGAATTGTTTCGAATTCGGGCTGGCCAATCGGAGCGCAGTTGTCATAGGAATGATACGGCAGAATAGTTTACAAACAAATTAAATAACATTTCGTCTCTATTTCTGGTTATATACTCGATGGTGACAGCACTTCCTTGGACGAATTGTTTCATAAGGAGCTTCTACTGCTACATCTCTCTGTCGCGCAAGTCGCACCCTGTCGTGTTAGAGATGCAATGTTCATAAATAGACAACTACACGCTGGAATTTTGGCGATCGCACCTGCTGTATACAGGTCGAATTTCATGACTAAGTTTAAAGATGCCTGTTTCTTTGACAACTTAGTGGCTTGTCTTCAATTTCAAGTGTAATAATAACGTATTTTGTGTATTGCAAGGCTCAGTCCTAGGCTCTCAAAGTTACGTTGTTATGTCATAGGATGATACAATACAATAATCTAATACCTACAAGTAACGCAATTTTCGTAAAGCACAAAATTTTCTAAATTAAAAAAGCTGTTGTAGCCTAAGAATTGATACAACCTCAAACGGCTTTGGTTCATTCCGGATAACAGCGCAAGTGTTAAATCAATGACTATGGAAAAAATGTACAGTAAAATTGAGAATGTACACTGAATGATATACAATAGAAAAAAAAACACATTTAAATTTTACAAGAAGACTGCCATATTCAATTGGACTTTACCGAAGTAAATAAAACACATATAGTATAAGGTATACATTTTTCAAATGGCTGCAGTTTTGTTTATTTAGTTTTAAATAAATTGACCTACGGCCTTTCAAGCAGGGACCATGTGATGGAATCCAGACTCACCTCTGAGTTTTCGGAATTTATGTAAGAAATTTAATACGTTAACCATGAGCTTTTCGGTGAAGGGAAATATCGTGAGGAAACCTACACGTTGAAAAAGATTCATAGCTCGTAAAATGTGGAAACGTGGGAAGAACCTTATAAATAGGTTGGTGATGAAGATTATGGTAACATTTTCTATGATCATATTGTGCATTTTCATAAGTTTTGCATACAAAACTTATGAAAACCACCTCATTTTTCATTGCATTCAGATTGAGTGTTTTTACTGTCAACATCATTAACTCATACATGTTTCACCATCTATACGTGAGCACAGGTCTCCTCTTAGAAAAAGATTTTAAACCAGTCATACTCAACCTTTTTTAGTTTGAACCACTTGCATATGTCTGCTTTGTTACACGGGCCGTAACATTTTTGGGTGATGACCTATTTTTTAGGTCATCCTTTTAACATTAGTTAATGTAATGGAGACGTGGTTTCACTTTTACTTCACATGTAATAATTAGAACACAAAATCTTAATATATTCAAACGTTTATTTAAAAATTAGTGAGACAAACTATTACATGAGTTTATAACTGCTATAAGCTACTTTCAATACGTCATCACGGCGAGAATCAGTGAGCCAATTTCTATATACGTACGCATATTATTTGTATATTTCATTGTAGGATACAACCATTCACAATAATAGGGACGTTGATGCGAACAACGTGAGCAACAGGTGGGCACATTTTTTTACAATCATGTCTTGTTCAGATACCGACTAATTTCCAATGTCTGTATGATCGGCTGAAGAAAAGATCGGAATACACTTTTATACAAAAATCAGAACTGACAAAAGCCTTGGAAAGAAAATGCGACCGCGTAAAATATTTATATACAAAATGTTGTTTCTTCTTGTGATCGCTAGGGGCGCTGTAAAATTTGCAATACAAAATCCGCGAAATACAGATTCCGCGATTACTAGCGACATCTGTTATAGCAAACTCGTGGCAAAGGCACAGTTCTCTATCAAAGTCTAGCAGTCTTTTGTTTTCTTTTTTTACGGTTCTACACGTATGCGCGAGAAAAATTTCGTAACATATCTCAAAATAAAAAAGTTAATGTAAATAACCAATTTTTTTTTAAATGAGGGGTTCTCAATTCGTCTGTATGTTTTTTCTTTTTTTTTCGTATGTACGTTACGCGACAACATTTTCATTTCGATAATTCTTATTTTGTTGGAAAGATGGTACCTCAGTAGTGGTCCCATTTAAATTTAAAATATTCCACTTCTAAGGGTAGCAAACTAGGTGATGAATCCGGTGAAATTACAGGCATACGAGACTTGAAACTTAGGTCTCAGGGTGACGGGCGTAGTGGCAGTGTGAGTCGCTTCTTCGTCATTTAAAGACGTGTCACTTACTACCAGGCGCAAAACTTATTCGTTCCGGCATTTGGTCTAATTGTAAATAATAAAAAAATATCGTAGAAATTTTTCTTTGTGTTCAATCTTTGCATTAATAATGATAACAAACCAGTGGAGTAATTTCACAAAATTAAATAAAATCTATATTCAACTGCCTCCATGGTTGAACGATTTTTTCCCGATTTAATGAAATAGAGCAAGGTTATTCCCTTATTCAAAAGCGGTAAGAAAGTTGATCCTAGACCCATTTCAATTTTACCAGCTTTAAGTAAAATATTCGAAAAGGTTATATTTACTCAATTACTGTCCTATTTCGGTAGGAATCATATTTTTCATAGTGAACAATACGGGTTTACTAGTGGTAGATCGACTGGTGCCGCATCACCGTAGCGTACCGTACACGGTAGCGTTACTAAAACACATCTTTGATGGTTGGGAAAGGTCCCAGAACGCTATTGGTGTTTTTGTGACCTCTCAAAGGCATTTGATTGCATTAACCATATTACTCTTTTTAGGAAGCTGGAATATTATGGTGTAAATGGCAAGGCATCGGAACTTGTCTCGTCATATCTCAACGATAAAATTCAGAAAGCAGACATAAATGGAGTGACCTTCTTTGGGTTCTCCGGGAAGAATGGGTGTTCCGCAGGGCACAATACTTCCCCCCCGATTGTGCTGCCACCTTGTCGTGGTGGGGGGGCTTCCGTGCCCTTATGATCCCCAAGGCTATGCCGGATAGCGCTACGCACACCGGACAGGCTTGTGGGGGAGGGGCCAGACTAAGAGCGGCACACTGCGGAGGGCCCACTCCCGGTACCACTCTGATCAGCAGAGCAGACTGGGATGTGGACGTGCGCCGTCAGAGTGCGGCGCTGCAAAGGGGCTCATCAGAGCGTTTGCGCGGCGGGTTCCGGCGGCTGTGATGTCACGGCTGTCGGGACAGGCTTAAGCCACCGTCGGGCGACCTGTTATCCCGACAGAGTCAACCGACCGACTGGGACCAGGGGGCTTGCCTTAATTGGCCGGCCCGAGTGGAGCCAACCACAATAAAAAACGCCCAAAGGTGACGTCGTTGGGGCGCCCCTTTATGGGGCCTCGCGCGACGACGTCACGCCTGCTTCGGTGGGTTGGTAGGCGGGGCATATCACCTACCCATTAGCGGCCATCCCTGGGATACCTCCCGTCCTCCCAGGATGTAGTAGGGTTACCCAGGTACAGGGGTCTCTGCCTGGGTGGACTGAATACTTCCCCCATACTCGTGGGAATCATATGGATTGCTATAGTAAAAATCGTGACGTGGTGTCCGAGAAGGACGGTGTTAATGTTTCCGAGGGCCTCGACCCTCAACCGACGAACCAAAGCAAGAATAACGGACTCGATTCTATTTCTGACGTGGAGACGGTTCCTGCGAAGGGAAGTGCTCGGCCGCGGGACAAGCACGGACGCTTCATTCGCCGACCAAAGTCTCCTCGCCCGGCGAGTGAAGTGGCCTGGTTGGAAGTGGATAGCTCAGACGAGGAGATTCTTCGCTCACAAAGCACAAAGTCCATAGGTCAAAGGACATCGGCTCCCTCCAAACGTGCTCGTGAGGGTGAGGATGAGGCACTAGAGCCCAATAGAGCTCCAAAAATCAACACAGCTCGGAGAGGCCGTGCTGTCGGTGTGGGTCACAATAACACGGGACCACGCCCTCGTGTGCCCGACGCGGGTGGCCCTGGCGGGTCATATAGACCCACGTTGCCCATCCAACGCTCACTAAGTGCGGGGAATCTGGACGTGAGCGCGGGGACGGGTGAAGAGGAGCGCTCTCCTGGCCAGGCCGGGGAGGCTGAACTCGAGGGCACAGCAGACCTCATGAGAGAGGCCCTGGCTAAGGAGGCGCGAGACGGCCTCGCGGTAATATTAGCGGAGACCACCAAGTCCTCTAACCTCAAGGGGACGGTGGTCAAAGCCATAGAAGAGGCCGTCAGAAAGGTGGAGGGAGCCGTGGACTTTCTCCACCGTGGAGAGACGGCGACTGAGGCGGCGCGGCGGATGTCGGAAGACAACCGCCGGATGAGGGGGCAGCTCGCTGCCCTAGAGGCAGAGGTGAAGGTCCTGAGGGGGGCCTACTCCTCCGCCCCAACGCCATGCAGCTCCGCGGAGATGCACGCGGGGGTGAGGGAGGCCATCGATGACCTCAGGCGCGACATATTTACCTCAATGAGGAATATGATGGACGCCCGCCTGAGTGACATCGAAAGGCGCCTCCCCGCGGAGGTCCTAAGGCCCCCCTTGGGCGGCAGAAGAGGGGCTCCTGGCGACGTAACAGTGCCCATCGCTGCCGCCGCTGCAACCGCCCCCAGAGTGCCTCCCCCCGCGTCGACACTCGAGCCGATACCGGGCCCCTCCCCGACCCGAAACGCGCCTGCCGGGCCGCGGCCCAAGAAGGCCAAAAAGAAGGCCCTCCCGCGGAAGACTGCTGCCGCCCCTCCTGTGGCCGCCTCCGCTGACCCCGCCGCCTCAGACGCGACGGCCCCAACGACGACGGACCAAGCGGAAATGCCCTGGTCGCAGGTAGTTGGCCGCAAGACCAAAACGCCTAAAAAGGCCAAAAAGGCAGCTGCCACCCCCCAAGCGGCACGGGCCAAGGCGGCCCCCAAGACAGCTCCCAGACCCAGGGCACTCGCCACCCCGAAATCGTCGGCGGTGGTGATCACCCTGAGGCCTGAAGCGGTGGCGGAAAAGGGGGCCACATACAAGGGTGTCCTTGAGGCGGTGACCGCTGCGGTCGACTTGGGCAGCCTCGGCATCCCGCACGTGCGGGTGCGGAATACCCAGACGGGTGCCCGCATGGTCGAGGTGCCCGGGGCGACCAGCGCCGAAAAGGCCGACACCCTGGCGGCCAAGCTGGAGGAGGTGATCGGGGGGCTGGCAACAGTGACGCGGCCAACCAAAACCGCCGATTTAAGGGTCACCGGCCTTGACGAGTCGGTGACCCCAGAGAAGATCCGGGCGGTGGTGGCCGCGAAGGGCCAATGCCCCCAGTCCACCGTGAGCGTGGGAGCCGTCAGACTGGCCCCCAACGGGAGGGGGTCAGCCATCGTCCGCTGTCCGGTGACGGCAGCCCAACGGGTGGCGGCTGCCGGCCGCATGTTGGTGGGGTGGTCCTCCGCCGGGGTCCATGTGATGGAGCCCCTCCCCATGCGCTGCTTCAGGTGCATGGGGATTGGCCACACCAGAGCCCTCTGCCCGTCCAGTGTGGATAGGAGCGGGCTCTGCTTCAGGTGTGGCCAGGTCGGACACTCGGCCTCCGGGTGCACGGCGACCCCGCGGTGCTCGGTATGCACCGCGGCTCGCCGTCCAGCGGACCACGTAATGGGGGGGCGATCTTGCGCTCCCCCTCCCACCAAGGGCAAGCCGGCGGGGACCTCAGGCCCCCCCCCTATTGAGGGACAAAGTATGGAGTAGTAATGCCAGCACGCCACCATATTATACTGCAGGGCAACCTCAACCACTGCGCCAGGGCACAGGACCTATTGGTCCAGGCCATGGCGGAGTGGGGGGTTGCGGTGGCTGCTGTGGCGGAGCCATACTTTGTCCCCCCGCGGGGGAATTGGGCGGGGGATCGGGAGGAGACGGTGGCCATAGTGGCGTCGACTGCCGGAAACTTCCCCCCTCTAGTGGTGAAGGAACGCGGGTCAGGGTTCGTGGCGGCGAGGTGGGGAGAAGTCATCCTAATTGGGGTGTACTTCTCTCCAAACCGCTCCCTGGCCCAATTCCAGGCATTCCTGGAGACCCTAGAGAGGGCGGTGAGGAGGGCAGCTCCGACGCCGGTGTTGGTATTGGGGGACCTCAACGCCAAGAGCGCGGCGTGGGGTTCTCCGGTCACCAATGCCAGAGGGCCAAAGTTGGAGGATGGGCGGCAGCCTTAGGGCTGGTCGTCCTCAACCGGGGCCATGCCAACACGTGCGTGCGGCGAAATGGGGGGTCAATCGTGGACATCACCTTTGCGACCCCCTCACTAGCCGCGCGAGTATCCGGCTGGCAGGTCCTGGAGGACGAGGAGACCCTCTCCGATCATAAATATATACGGATGAGGGTCTCCCATGCGCCGCCAGCGACGGCCTCCAACACGGCCCCCGGGAGGGGCTTTCCCAAATGGGCACTCACCCGTCTGGACCCTGAGCTCGCAGAGGAAGCAGCCATGGTCCAGGCGTGGTGCCCCCCCCCCCCCCCACCGGCCACCGTCGATGTGGATCAGAAGCGGTCAAGTTCAGGGAAGACTTGACCGCCGTCTGCGAGCGGGCCATGCCTAGGGTCAGAGGGACCCCGGGCAAGAAGAGTGTGTACTGGTGGACCGCGGAAATTGGGGACCTTCGCACCGCCAGTACCGCGGCCCGGCGGGCCTACGGCCGATGCCGCCGCAGGCGCCACACCCCAAGTGAGGAGAGAAGGCTCCACAGCGCCCTTCAGGGCGCGAGGCAGGCCCTGAAGGTCGCAATAGGACGGGCCAAGGACTCTGCGAAAGAGGAGTTCTTGGCCATCCTGGACGCGGACCCATGGGGGAGGCCGTACAAAGTTGTGCGCAACAAAATGTACGGCGCATCTCCCATGGAGTCACTGGAGCTGGATCTCCTCAACCGGGTGGTGGTGGGCCTTTTCCCCGAACCGCAGCCCTTCACCCCACCGGCCATGGTGCCCCCCAGAACAGACGGGGGGCAGACTGAGGAACCCCCCCCGGAAATCACCGAGGGGGAGTTGGAGTGGGCGGTGGGACGGCTGCGGGGGCTGAAGAAGGCTCCCGGCCCGGACGGGGTACCGGGACGAGTCCTTCGCATTGCCCTGAAGCATCTCGGGACCCGCCTCAAGCATCTCATGGATGACTGCTTGAGGACGGGGTTGTTCCCGAGATGCTGGAAGGAGGGAAGGCTCGTCCTGGTGCCTAAGCCGGGCCGACCTGCGGACTCCCCCTCGGGGTTCAGGCCCCTCGTCCTGCTGGACGAGGTGGCGAAAATCCTGGAGCGAATCATCGCCTCCAGGATCAACGAACACCTGAGGGGGACAGGCCCCGATGTGTCGCAGCGGCAGTACGGGTTCAGGGCTGGACTCTCCACCCTGGACGCCCTGGAGTCGCTGCGACACATCGTGGAGGAGGGTAACGGCGAGAGGGAAGGCGTGGTGGCTGTGTCATTGGACATAGCCAACGCCTTCGGCACTCTCCCCTTCGCCGTTATCAGGGAGGCGCTGAGGTACCATAATATCCCCAGGTACCTCAGCCGTCTGGTGGAGCACTACCTGGAGGACAGGGTGGTGCTCTCCCAGACGAGGGAAGGGAGGCGCGCCGAGCGCCCAATGAGGTGCGGAGTACCCCAGGGGTCCGTATTAGGACCACTACTGTGGAACCTGGGGTATGATTGGGTGCTGAGGGGCGCGCTGCTTCCCCGGACGGCGGTCATCGCGTACGCCGATGACACGCTGGTGACACATCTCCATCGCAGGAGTATCGGTCCCGGTCAAGTCCCAGATGAAATATCTGGGACTTGTCCTGGACCGGCGATGGAACTTCGGCGAGCATTTCCGGCAACTTGCTCCCCGAATAGTGGGCGCCGCATCGGCGTTGAGCAGGCTCCTGCCCAACCTCGGGAGGCCGGGAGCCCCATGCAGAAGGCTATACGCCGGGGTGACCCGGAGTATGGCCTTATACGGGGCTCCCATTTGGAGTGGGGCCTTATCAGCGGCGACGAAGTGCGAATGTGCAGGGCGTACATGACGGTGGCCTGCGCTGCCGCATGCGTCCTCGCCGGTACTCCGCCGTGGGACCTCGAAGCAGAGGTCCTGGCGGCGGTCCGCACCTACCGGCGGGGAATGAGGGACCGAGGCGAGCGACCCGCTCCCCAAGAGGTGGAGCGCGAGCGCCGCCTCGCGGCGCAGCGCATGCGGGACCGGTGGAAAGAGGGCTTGGCGGATCCCCCCTATGGCGCTCGTACCATAGAGGCGATCCGCCCTGTCCTCGTAGAGTGGGTAAACCGGTCCCACGGGCCACTGTCGTTCCACCTTGTGCAGGTGCTGACCGGGCACGGCTGCTTCGGTCACTACCTGCACAAGGTGGCGAGGAGGGAACCGTCCCCGTCGTGCCACGAGTGCGGCGCTGCGGATGACACCGCGCAGCACACCCTAGAGGTGTGTAGCCGGTGGGATGAGCAGCGCCGCACTCTGACGGGGACTGTAGGGCAGGACCTCTCGCTGCCGAGCGTGGTTGCCGCCATGCTCGAAAGCGACGAGTCCTGGGAGGCGGTGGCCTCCTTTTGCGCAGAGGTTATGTCGCAAAAGGAGGCCGCGGAGCGGGTGCGCGAGGACGCGGCGGACGCGCACCCGCTCCGGCGCAGACGTACGGGGAGAAGGCGAAGGCAGTTCGCTGCTCGCCTGATCCCCTAGTGAGACCAGCGGGCTCTGGACAGGGACTCCGGAGCCTGCA